GGGCGTCCCCGGAGTGATAGGCCACTGGACAGCGCAGACACCTCATCATGCGGCCTGCGGGCGAGGCGGGAGGGAGAGTTACAAGAGGGCACCAGCTGGGTGTACATGAGACTTCGGGGTGGACGGTCCCAGCTTCAGGAAGGTAAAGAGACCTTCTCGTCCCCAGCCTGGCTCTGCCCTTTCTGTGGAGGGTGGCTCTCCAATGCAAGCCTAGTACCCAGAAGTTGTCCAAAGAGAAAAGTTACTCCACTCTCAGTGAGACGGCGGCTTCTTTTTTCCTTTTTTTAAGAATTATTTTAACTTTTGGGACCAGCAGTTGGCATAATGGCTATGTCACTGGACTCCCATGTAGTCGACTGTGGTTCAAGTCCCAGACCCAGTGGTTTAAACTCATACCACGTACGTGTGCATGTATGCCTTAGTGGGGAATGGAGGAGAAGGGATTGTGGTGTGGCCATTCCCCCTGAGGGGGTGATTTATCTCTTTCTATCTCTCTGTCTATCTTTCTGGGGAGCACACGCACTCTATAGCAAAAACCTCTCCAAGAGAAGAAAAAAAAAAAAAAAAAAAAAAAACGGGAAATTTTCTTTTCATGGTTGATTTGGAACATAATCCCTACTTAATATGCTATCTGGGGCTGGTTGGGGCGCTGGACCATGGTTTGAATCCTGGGCCTGGTGGCTTGCTTTCTCACTTTCTCTTTCTCTCTCTGGTGAAATTAAGTAATAATGATAAAAATAAATTGAATAATTCTTGGGAACCAGCAGTTAGTGTAATGGCTATGTCGCTGGACTCCCACGTAGCCGACCGCGGTTCGCGTCCTGGACCCAGTGGCTTAAAACTCACGCCGGGCGCGTGTGCGTGCGTGCCCAAGATCCCGAGAGGAGAATGGAGGAGAAGGGATTGCGGCGTGACCATCCCCCCTGGGGGGTGATTTCTCGCTTTCTGTCTCTATGTCTCTCTCTGTCTGTCTGGCGAGTGCACGCGCCCTATAGCAAAAATCTCTCCAAAAAAAAAAAAATTGAATAATTCTTAAAAAAAAAAATGCTATAGCATCCGCCGGGCGCGTGTGCATGCGTGCCCAAGATCCTGAGAGGAGAATGGAGGAGAAGGGATTGCGGCGTGACCATCCCCCCTGGGGGGTGATTTCTCGCTTTCTGTTTCTATGTCTCTCTCTGTCTGTCTGGCGAGCGTACGTACCCTATAGTAAAAACCTCTCCAAAAAAAAAGAAAAAAAAGAAAAAAAAAAGCTATCGCATCAAAACTGTTAAATGAAAGGTGAATGCCTGATTTTGTTTATAATAATGTGCTTAATGTATTACTTGCCAGTGTACTTTATGAAAGTTATTTTATTTTTGGGACCAGCGGGTGGCGTGGTGGTTAAAGCACTGGATGCTTTCACATGCCTAACCACGGTTCAAATCCTGGACCTGGTGGCTTGTTTTCTCACCTTCTCTCTCTCTCTCTCTGTGTCTCTCAAGTCAAATTAAGAATTAATGAATGAATAAATAAAGGTAAATAAATAATTTTTTAAAAAGTTATTTTATATTTTTAGGTTTATTCCTTTCCACAAAGAGAGACACACACAGAGAAACAGCACACCCAATGCGTTCTTGACGCTGTGATCCACCCTCAGCTCTGCTAGCCCTGGACCGTGGGCACACGAGTGCCCAGTGAGGCCTCGCACTCAGCCTGGCAGGGCACCTCACGTGCCCGCTCTGCCATGCTCTGTCAGCAAATGCTGCCCCTTCCTGCGCGGTTACCTTTACTTGCTTTGTGGATGTCTTTCTCCATCGAGCAGGCAGAGCAGCAGTGCTGGGGACAGCGGAACCCTTTTGACTCAAAGACAGCGGTGGGGAATTTGCGCACACAAGCCTCATGGTAAAACTTCCCGCACGCACTGACAGAACAGCGCTTCACATCTTTACCAGGCGTCTTACACGAGAAACATGGGTGCAGCCCTGGAGGTCGGGAAGGAAGACAGTGCCAGGTAATCTTGTCAGAGCGCAGCTTAAATAGAAGCAGCTACAGATACCAAGGAGATGCTTCTGAGGCCCGAGCACACGGAAGAAGTTATCACACCCACAAATATGCACAACTGCTATTCGACAATGAAATAATAAATGGAAAGTTTTGTAAATTAAAAAAATTAACATATAAAAAATTAACATATAAAAGGCATTTAAAATAAAAGGCTAAATTAAGGGACTAGTTAATTCATTTCGATAAACTATGATTATAAACTTAGAGACACAACTTTCAGAACAATTTAGGTCTTCAAAAGTAATTCCACTAGAGGCCCAAACATGGTATGGGGGCGCAGGGTGCCACTGCCCGAAGCTGGGAACACTTGGGAGGCCTCGGTACAGTTCCCAGACCAATCTGAACACCCCAGGACAGTGGCGCGGGCCTGTTATCTGAGCTGGGAGGCCAGGGCAGGAGGGGCCTAATAGGCAGAGACCTGTCTAACATACCTTTTTATTTCTCTCCTTCCCTCTCTCGTTTTAAAAAATAACAACATTTGATTGTCAGGAAAGTCACTAAGTTTTTTTCTACATTTCTCTATGTAAAAATGTGTCATGACTTTTCTGACAACCCAGTAATAAATTCCACAGAAAACCAGAACAGAATTTTTAACAGTACTTAGGAACAGAGCGGTAGTCTTTCCCACATACGGTAAATAAAAATGACAGATTCCATTAGAGAAACACTGGTCATTTCTGTATGTAGAACAGACACAAAATGAAGACTCGCAATCCTAATTAAAACTGCAGCAAGACATATCCAAATGCTAGAAGATCAAGGACAGATAAAAATATTAGAATTATCACAGCAGAGACTATTATTTTCAAAGACAGTAAACGAAAATAGAAAAATAGAAGCTCCCAAAATAATGGAATGCTATCTTCAAAGGATGAAAGAAAATAATTATCAAGTCAGAATTCTTTCTTTAAAATTTGCTACAGGACGTGCACTCTCTGGAGAGACAGAGACACAGAGAGAGAGAGTGTGAAATCGCCCACTGGGATGAGGGCCATGCCGCAGTCCCTTCTCCTCCACTTTCCTCTCGAGATCTGGGCGTGTGCACTTACCTTGTGGGAGCTTCAAGCTGCCAGGTCCAGGACTCACACCTCTGTCAACCATGTGGGAGTCCGGTGCCCCAACCACCACACCGCCTGCCGGCCCCTCAAGTCAGTATTCTATACTCAGTGAAAATACTCATCAAGAATGTGAAATTAGGCCAGCAGCAGGTATGGTTAAGGCACAGGACTCCCATGTGTCTCACCGCAGTTCGAGTCCTGGACTTGGCGGCTCTTTTTCTCCCCTTCTCTCTTTCTCTGGTGAGTGTACATGCCCTGTAGAAAACTAAGACATAATCACAAAAATAAAAATTAAACAAATAATTCTTTAAAAAAAAGTGAAATCGACATTTGGTAGAAAGCATTAGCAAATCCTGGTTCTTAAGAAAATATTAATAAAGCTGATCTGCCTAAAAGAGTATCTCAATTAAAAAAGGAGAGAATGCGCCAATATTGGTATCAGAGATGAAAAATGGGGCATCACTACATATCCTACAAAAGTAGACAAGGGCATTACTACATTTTTGCTAATAAATTTGACAATTTAGATGAATGGACAGATTCCTAAAAAAAATACCAACACTGACACAAAAAAATAAATAGAAATATAAATTGTTTTATAAACTATAAAAAGAAATGAAAACTATAATTAAAATTCCTCCAAAAGAAAATCTTAGCGCCAGATGGTTCCACTGGCAAATCTGTCAATCACTTAAAAAATTAATACAAACTATGATAGATCATAAATTAGATTTTCAGGAAAGCCATGACATATTTTTATAAACATGCATCATGACTTTCCAGACAACCTAATAAAATAGAGAAAAAGAAGTCACAAGCAAACGACAAATGTGGAAAAATATGCAACAAAAATGACACAGGATTATACTTTGTTGTATCCAATGTTCACATATGGAAAAAATAAACATAACAAATATAACCAAGTAAAACTTTAAAAGAACTATGAATCCTTACAGAAAAAAAAAAAAACAAACAAAAAAACCCTAATGTCAAAGTGGGGCAGCAGGTGGACTCAATATTGGTTACAGCGTTGGAGTCCCCCATAGCTGACCACAGTTCAAATCCTGGACATGGTGACTTGCTTTCTCACTTCCTCCTGCTCTCGTCTCTCTCTGGTGTGTGCACATGCCCTGTAGCAAATTTTAAAAAACCAAAAAACCAATAATAAATAAAATAGTTCTTTTAAGAAAATGGGTTGTGGGAACCAGCAGTTAGCGTAATGGCTATGTTGCTGGACTCCCACATAGTCGACCGTGGTTCGCGTCCCGGACCCGGTGACTTAAAACTCACGCCGGGCGCTTGTGCGTGAATGCCAAAGATCCTGAGAGGAGAATGAAGGAGAGGGATTGTGGCATGACCATCCCCCACAAGAGGTGATTTCTCGCTTTCTATCTCTGTCTCTCTCTGTCTGTCTGGTGAGCGCACACGCCCTATAGCAAAAACCTCTCAAAAAAAAAAAAAAATCAAATCAAAGGCCTTTTCAGCATCTCACTGAACACACACGCACGCACACACACACACACACACATTGCAAACCCACGTAAAGAAACCTTAATAAGAGCTTCCTATATTTTCTTCAGCTCGTTTCTGTGCACAGATTTTGGTTTGTTAATACAGCTGTGGTCATTCTATCTACTATCTATAATAGTGTCAACATAAAATAAAGTTAAAAATGTTAAAAACAACTTAATTCACATTGTTTGTACAATGTAACTCTTGATCTAAGAAAGCCTAATTATAGACTGTACCTCGATTTATTGAAATACCTATGGGAGCAGAGGAGAGCCCGGTAACTGTCAGAAAGTAAGACGTCACGGGAGAAACTGCCAGCCGCCTGCCGCTCGCTTCCAAAGTGCGTGGGCTTACCGGTTTGGCACTCGACGCAGGTGAACTTGCCATCAGGAAGCGAGGTTAGTCCCAGGCACTCCAGGTGAAAGTGTCTGCAGCAGTCTCCCTCACAAGGAAGCAGAGAGTCGCCCGCACTCTCACAGACCTGTAAGACGGCAGTAGCAGCTCTCAGACCTACCCAGACATGGCATCCACCTGGAGGGCTCGTTAGGACAGGTTTCTGGTACTTCACCTGCACATTCTGGTTCAGCGGGGAGGGGGTGCGGGGCACGGGCTTGCACTTCTAATAAGGCCTGAAGAGGCTAGTGCTGCCTGTCCTGGGCCTTGGCTGTGTGGACCACTGACCGAGACAGCTACCCTGGGTAGAGTGTGAAGTGTGAAGCCCCACTTGATCTTTCACACTTGATCTTTAGACCACTTCAGGGTCTGCAGACTTTGACTTTTCTTCATGAAGCAAAGCTGCATTTTTCTTTTCTTTTTTAACAAAGAATTATTTTATTTAACTGTTATTATTATTATTTTCTAGTTTGACTGGAGGTGGGGGCAAGAAAGCAAGCCACCAGGTCCAGGACTCGAACTATGGTTGGCCATGTGGGCGTCCAGTGCCCCAACCAACACGCCACCTGCTGGCCCCCAAAGTTATTTTTCAGAGTGGAAATACATTTGAAAAGTGAATGTGAACTAAAATGTAAGAAACACTTCCTGGAATCAGGCGCCTTTCACTTCATTGAATAACAGCAGGCCACAGTGAAGGGAGCGCTCCCACCTGAAGGTGTCCCAACTCAGAAAGGGAAGATGGACCCAGAGAAGGATTCAGATCTCAAGACAGCACTCCCTCTTCAACAGAGGCATGCCCTCACTGGCAGAGCCGGGCAGCCGGTCACTCGCCTACCTGGCACAGTGTGTCCTTCCTGCTCAGTCGGCGGGTGCTGCCTGTCCTGGGCCTTGGCTGTGTGGACCACTGACCGAGACAGCTACCCTGGGTAGAGTGTGAAGTGTGAAGCCCCACTTGATCTTTCACACTTGATCTTTAGACCACTTCAGGGTCTGCAGACTTTGACTTTTCTTCATGAAGCAAAGCTGCATTTTTCTTTTCTTTTTTAACAAAGAATTATTTTATTTAACTGTTATTATTATTATTTTCTAGTTTGACTGGAGGTGGGGGCAAGAAAGCAAGCCACCAGGTCCAGGACTCGAACTATGGTTGGCCATGTGGGCGTCCAGTGCCCCAACCAACACGCCACCTGCTGGCCCCCAAAGTTATTTTTCAGAGTGGAAATACATTTGAAAAGTGAATGTGAACTAAAATGTAAGAAACACTTCCTGGAATCAGGCGCCTTTCACTTCATTGAATAACAGCAGGCCACAGTGAAGGGAGCGCTCCCACCTGAAGGTGTCCCAACTCAGAAAGGGAAGATGGACCCAGAGAAGGATTCAGATCTCAAGACAGCACTCCCTCTTCAACAGAGGCATGCCCTCACTGGCAGAGCCGGGCAGCCGGTCACTCGCCTACCTGGCACAGTGTGTCCTTCCTGCTCAGTCCGACACCTCTTCTCGACAAACTCGAATCCACAGACTGCACGTCAGAGACATCGGCGTCTGCAGTGGCCGAGGGGCTATCTGCTTGCTTTCCAAAGCCTACCTACATAAAAACACAGCACATTTTAAGAAAAACAACAAAAATTACTTTAAAGATGATATAAAAGCCCTTTGTGAGACTTGCTCAAATAGATCTTTTTTTTTTTTTTTTTTTTTGATTCTGCTATAAGGCACGTGCGCTCGCCAGAAAGACAGAGAGACAGAAAGCGAGAAATCATCCGGCCATGCCGCAATCCCTTCTCCTCCATTCTCCTCTTGGGATCTTGGGCACGCACACACACGTGGCAGGCATGAGTTTAAGCCACCAGGTCCAGGATTTGAACCATGGCTGACTACATGGGAGTCCAGCGACATAGCCATTATGCCAACTGATGGTCCCTCAAATAGATCCTGACACTTTTAATTTTCTTTCTCTCTAAAACCCATAGATACTGCATTTCTGCTGTTTTGGGAGAAACTGCAATTAAAATGGAAAAATAAGCAAAACAAAACTATACTTCTGTTACCTAAGAGTGGCACAAACAAGACACTCATTAAGTCACAATAAATCAAAGTGATTTTTTTTTCCTATGAGTATTTAAAACATGCCCTGATTTCTCCAAACTAAGTCAGGCAAAAGCATCATGACTTTGGTTTTTTGCTTAAAAAAAAAAAAATTATTTTATTTAACTTTATTATTGTTATTCTTTAATTTGACCAGGGAGAGACAAAGAAAGAGGGAAAGTGAGAAAGCAAGACACCAGGACCAGGACTTGAACCATGGTTGGCCATGTGGGAGTCCAGCACCTTTATAACCACACCACCTGCCGGCCCCGCAACTTTGGTTTTATGCAGTGGGAGAGGAGCACTGTGCCACGGGCATATTTACCTGCATATCACTCAGTCCTCGCGAATCGGAGTCGGACGTGTCTCTGTAAGCTGAGCTTGGCATTTCCACGTCGGTCGAGGCGCGACTCCTTTTCTTTAGAGGTTTACAGGAATCTGAAATCTCGCTGGCACCTTAACACAACACACTGAAATTAATCCTAAAATAGTGCTTAAAGTCGGCTGTTTTCACTTTTCTGTGGGAGAGTATTTTCCTTCCCCAAACTCATCTTTAATGTGGAAAAAGCACAACTGTCTTTGAAACACTGAAGTCACGAACTGACACTTCATAAGCTTCTGAACCTTCCTGGTAGTGAGTGAATTTAATTTACAACTGCTCTGTTAAAACATTGAATTCCATTCTCCTGCTCTAAAACTATTTTCAGTCAACAAAGCCCAAGCTCCAACCTAAAAATCAATTCTGTCAAAATTGCAGGATAGCAGATTGATCTGGAGCAATTCAAAGAACCATTCGATTTGGAGGGGGAAGACATAAAACCCAACACACTGTGTAGCTTACAAATATGGTCGCAGAGACATCTCCATCTTGTTTTTATTAGGGATGTGACAAATCTTTGATTTGTATTCGATTCGTACACGGATAGTGCCATTTTCCCCCAAATTTTGCAATTCAGTTGATTATCGCCCCCCCAAATAAATTGTGGATGCTCATGATTGTTCATCTGAGACTTCCTTGGCGGAGTGGCATTTACGGGGACCGCCACCGAGTGCTGCAGCACGTCTACGCGCACCGTGCCCTTCGGGAGGCACGCGGCTCAGGGCTGAGCTGACAACCAGTGTTCAAGAACAGCCAAACCACGGAGAGCTGGAAGAGAAGCCTCTGTGTGGACGTTGTGCGGGAAGGAATATGGAAAAAAAAAAAGGCAGAGAGTAGTGTGGAATTTTTTTTTAAAACTGTGTGTAATACAAATCCAGCCAAAACAATAGTGCAAAAAGTTACAAAGCAACAATCTCTCGGGCTAATGCAGTACAGGCTATACAGAAACTGCCATGATGAAAGGTGCAGGTCGGGCACGGTGAGTACCAAGGAACCAAGGAGACGGTCAACATTTCAACCCACGGTTTGTGTTCTGGATTTTTTCCCCCAAACTTTCCATACAACAACCAGACAGCTAGACCAGCCCAGCAAGCTATGGTGGGAGTGTGCAGTCCGGAGGAGACCACGGAGATCCGCAACAGGCTGGGTGAGAGTGGCTTGGTGCGTGGCCATGTTCTGTGGTGGAGGATGTGGCTCGTTACGACTGCTCAGATTACTGGAACCTCGCGATCACATCCCCTTCCACAAGTTTCCACTGCATGTTTCCTGACAGCTCTACATGAGGGTGCCTGCCCGCGTGAACGCTGAGTAAAACACAAGTACACAAATCTATCTCCTTCATTGCTGGCGTATGGCCCCAGAACACCACCACAAAGTATTTCCTTGGCCTAAAAGATCACTGGATTAACAAGGAGCTTTAACAGAGGAACAGGAGTGCTGTACTGAGAGGCTTTCGAAGGGAAACACAGGTACCGCCATTTCCGATGAGTTTCTGAAAATGCTAGAAAAAGGACAGACTGCCAAAGACAGCTGTCGTGCTGTTCTCCATGATAACGGCACTAATATTAAAAAAAATAAGAGCTTTTAATGATTGTAATGTATACAGTTTGGGCTGTTTGGCAAAACCCTGCAGATGTGCATTAATGATGCTTTATTTGAAAACAAAAACAGTCCATGTTGAAATTGATCAGTGTAAGTTAAACGGTGGTTTTTAGGCTGGACCCATGATTTAAGCTGTACCCATCCAGCTCAGACCAAAAAAAAAAAAAAAAAATCATCTGAATGTTAAAGCAATGGTTCAGAGTCTTGAAGAAGAAACCAGGCAGGAAAATGCCAATGATGATTGGCAAAATTAAAATCCAAAACAAAGAAACTGTTTATCGAGCCGCCGACAAAGAAATCTTGCATGGAGACTACAAGTCTGGAGTTTCTGGGATGAAATTGTACAGGAATCTCAGTCCACAGTTTCCTCATTCGCTGCGGAGACGGAGCTGTCACTGAATCTGACAGAGCCCTGCACTCCCCGGTCCGCCGACCCTGTGGAATGGTGGAAACACAACGCAATCAGGCCTCCTAATCTCGCAGCGATCGCGATGTCTTTTCTTGGAGCTCCGCCAAGCAGTGTTCCCTCCGAGAGGCTGTTCAGTTCTGCTGAGGATCTCCACGGAGACCATCGCTGCAGACTTCTCCCCGAGAATGCAGAGAGGCTGGTGTTTTTTTTTTTTTTTTTTAAATAATGCAATTTGCCCAGAGTAAACTACAGGTATTAAATACAGTTTGATCTCACCAAAAATGCACAAATCATGCTATGGAGTTTGTACTGTAGTCAAATTGCACACAGAAAATATAGATATAAGCTTAAGGAGGTTTCTTAAACTTTGTGCATATCTCAAATAGATTCACATAAGGTCATCTAATAGTGGCCATAAATATGCTATGAATCCTTTTAATTTACAAAAAGATTTTACAGCACTGTAGAAATAAATGTGGCAAGATTTTTTTCAATCAGGTTGTCTTGTCTGATTTGTCATAGCCCATGTTTGACAAATATTAATAGCTACTATTCGGTATTCAGTCGAATACCCAAAAAAGCGGATTCGTCACATCCCTAGTTTATAAGCCAGTGAAACCCCAGAATCTTATGGAGAAAGGTGGAAACAGTATCGAGTCTACGTGGTGTTCTCCAAATTACCAAAACAAATAAGATTGTTCACGTGGAGTTACAGAATAAGATCAACTCTGAAAGCCACACACACACACACACGCACACACACATGCACACACACACACACACACACACACACCAAGAATTACGGCAATTTCACACTGAAGAGCAACAACAATGATTTACAGAGACAGACAAAAATATATGAGGTACAAATAAGTAATTCTTAAGAACTGGTTTTAATCGAGAAAATGCAAAGCAACATTATTAACTCACCTTTCTGTAATCCAGTCTTCACTGTAGCCTGAGGAACTGTTTCAACCTGTTTAAACAGAAAAAATGCAGCATTAATAAGAAATGTTTTTTATTTTTAAATAACAGAGGGAAAAAATAATTCTTCATTGATCTAATGATGAATGATTAATGTATCTCAAAGCTGAACTCGGTTCCATCTTCTGTGTAAAGCTGTCTCCAGGTCAGGGAGGTTTAAATCCTAGCTGCCTGTGCCGAAGACCAAGTGACCACGCACAGCCACATGCTCCACAGAGGTTCTTCCCACCACTACTCCCTTGGCATATGAAGAGAACAAGAAACTGTCTTCAGTGTCCGGAAGGCAAGAGAGGGGCTGTTTCTGCAACCAGCCCCAGTGCTGCGATTAACCCCTCCCACCCCAAAGATGTTAGCATAAATTTTTACTTACTATGATACTCAGGTTAATGTAACTCACGCCACTTTTAGACCCTTCCGCGCCTGCACTCACAGCTAAGTTGCTGGGAATCAGGACCCTCTCTGTAGAGAGCGCTACAGGGCTCCATACAGCTGCAAGCTCAGTACTTTGGCTGCTAGTGCAGACTTAGGAAAATACGTTTGTGATATGGCAAAAGCACTTTCTTGAGTGTCTTATGAACAGTGTCTTGATCCTACATTAGGAGAGCGAGACCAGAAGTTATTCTGCCAATGTATATGTAAAACACGTGGTGAGCTGAGGATCGAACCGTTACAATTAGAGAAATGATGCTGCTTGGAGGAGTTCCTGTTTACGCTAGGAATTCAACTTCATGTTTCTTTAGGATGTGTTGAAATATGCATGTTGAAACACGTTTTGTAAATATTTAAGGATTTGTTCTAAGCTTTTTAAAAAAATCTTTTATTTTTTACAACAAGTAAAAAAACATACAACAGAAACGCTTTTATAAGATACAATTAGTAATACAAATATAAAACCTTCTAAACAATCACTGGTATTGCTCTACTAACTGTAACACAGTGGCATTAACAATCTGCCCTTCTGTACTCATTCTGGGTATTAATTTTAAACTACCTGGTCACAGGCTGAATCTGGGGACCGGCCGACAAAGTCACGACTTCACTTTGGTAACAAGTACTATAGATTTGCAAGAGCTTAGAAAGATTTATTTTTTGGAATATAATTTCCTAAGTATGAAAGTTAAGATGATAAATGAATGACAAATGATAAATTAGTATGTTATCTAAACTGTAGTTAAATAGTCCAGAAAAATTACTTTACATGCTTGGTGAACCATTAAGCACCCACAAAGTTAACTTTTAAATTTGGAAGTTTACAATTATGAAGGAAATAATTTAAATAGAAAAACCCACACACTTCCCTATTAAGTGGCTTTAAAAATATAAAACTTAACTGGAATGAATCCTACTCAGAATTCATTTCGCTTAATAATAGCAGGTGCCTGGGCTGTAAAAATGAATATTCTTTCTCTTAAAAAAAATTAAGAAAAAAATTCTGAGTTTAATTTAAAGGAGAACAGCTTCTAAAAAGTTTTTTGAAAAGGTAATTTAACATATTACTACATTGATCACACTGCTTTAATACACTTCAGTCAAAATGTACTGTTCCCCCCTCCACTTTACTTAAATATTGTTTATCTGACAAACGGCTATCAGGTGAGTGCCATTCCACATTCCAAAAAATCTGTGATAGCAACAGAAAAACCAGATCATCTATGATTATCTGCATCTTAAATATAAGATATAAGTTAAATTAATTTGATTTGTTTAAAAAATAAAATCAATACATACCAGCAGCTTAAACCAAAAATCAAAATTTTTTTAAAAAAGGGAACTCATTGATGGTTCCAAATAAAAATCATGAAAACATGAAATTACGTTGCTCACAACAGAAATTTCAAAATAAGTGTGAGGGATCTTTAAAGAGTCTTGCACTCTGGCTCCCCACCTCCTGAAGCCTGGCTGTGCTCTGTGAAAACGCCTGAAGCAGAATCACAGGGACGGCTGTGTTAGGACCGGGCACTAGAACCCACCAGGACAGAAGCACAAGAAAGTCCAGAGAGGACACCCAGTGTGGGGCAGTGTGCTGTCTTTCAAGACCCCAGTATGAGCCTCGACATCGCAATACAATGCTTTAACTCTCTACGTGTGGGAAGCCAACCTGCTCCTTTTTGATCTTCTTCTTTGGCACAACCTCCGTGGACTTCTCTGATTCAGAACGAGTTCTAATTGATCTTCTCTGTTGTTTCTTTTCTACCGAGCCTAAGAGATGATGTAAACAGACACAAAACTCATTTCAGGATGTCTTGACTTTTTGTTTTCCTTTTTGGTTAGAGGGCAGGTGAGCTTGACAGAGACAGAGAGAGAGGAGGAAGAGGAGGAGGAGGAGGAGGCAGGCTCCTCCCTATGGGGATGGCCACACATCGATCCCTTCTCCATGTCACCCATCCTTTGGAATTTGGGACATGCATACATGCCTGGCACCTTTTTCAAGCCGCCAGGTCCAGGACTTGAAGCACATGGTTGACCACCTAGGATGTGGCTGCACCAGGCCACTGGCCGCCAGGTCCAGGACTTGAAGCACATGGTTTCCCACCTAGAATGTGGCTGCACCAGGCCACTAAGCCAGCCCAGGATGCCCTGACATTTATGTAACTAAGAGTTGACCGAATTCCTTGTTTTTCTTACCCATTACTTACGGAATTTTAATGATAAATTATTAAAGATGTTAAATACTAGGAACCATGGAAATTACCCACTAGTTTACACCTGTAAAGACTGAGGAGCCAAGACTGGACTCACAAAGGGTCCCAGATTGACGGGTAAAGGCGGGGTTGGCTTTTAAAACATTGGGAAGTTACACCCGGAGGCACAGTTCAGTCTTCAAAGCAGGTAAGCATATTTAGGGACAGATAATTGAGAGGATAAAAAGACTGAAGGAATGGGTAAAATGACTGTATTATCCAGTTGAATTAGGAAATACTGGTTCAGAATTCAATCAGTATTACACATTTAGCACTTTCACAATTGAGTTCATTCTTTATGTAAAATGGTTAACAGTGTTTCGTGCACTTGTAAGTTTTGCTGTTGTTATTAACAGCCAAAGCATAAAAAATGGGAAAGGCACAATGAAAGTGTGACCAAAGCCTAATCATGAATTCAACCATCAAGGACTTGTTATACTTTAAAACTCCAAGTTATGGAAGACTAGTGGAAATAAACTATCAAGCTTTTTCATGTTAAATGGTAAAACAAGATTTTCTCTTTCCTTCCTGAGGGAGACAGGGTGGGGAGAGAGAGGGAAGGAGAGAGGCAGGTATTTTGACAAGGTCTTATGTCACAATCCTCCTGCTCCAGGCTACCGATTACCTGGGATTACAGGCTCATGTGACCATGCCAGGCCTGACCTAGGCTGGGCCAAGAACTGAACTTGGACCTCCATCTGAGCAGTGGTACAAGGCACCGTGGCCAGGTCCAAGGTTTTTAAACATAGTTTTTAAAAAGTAAATGGGAAAAAAACTCACATAGACCCCATTTTTAGAAAGGATAACTCTTAAGTGGACAAACTACAACTGGAAAGGACACTAAGCCAGGAATGAGCTCATCTTGTGACCCTGAGGAAGAATGATATCGCAGGCAGCTGTTCTCTGCATTTTCAGCACTCAGACCACTGGAAGGGCTCTCCCTAAATAATACTGATGTTGGACTTGCAGTGGAAAGAAACTACGATGCCGGCCCTCTTATAAATCAGACAGAAACCACCTCAATAAGGTCTTCCGGCCCAGCTGTGCTAGTGTGTCCTGGCTGACTCTGCTTCTGGGCAGGCTGAGGCCACGTGGGAGGCCAGCTTGATTCCTGCCCCCTCCAAAAGCCAGGCGTAGTGCTATACCTCCACAGCCCCAGCTTCTCGGGAGGCTGAGAAGAGGATCACTCTGTCTAAACACACACACACACACAGGGTCTCTCTATGTCACAATCCTGCCTCAGTCTCCCAGTTAACTAGGTTTCCAGACAGACATGCACACATACGCACACCACACATACATATACGAATGAAGCCTTCCGTGTAATTCTTTTATTTTTTTTTTTTTGTTTCGCTGCTCTTGCCCATGTATAACTGACTTCCTTCACCTTTTTCAAGCCTAAACAAAGAAGGATCCCACTGCTTTGTTTTGAGGAAGGAGTGGGTAGTCTCATAACATACTGTTCTGAAGCTGTGGTTAGTCCATTTTTAGCAGAGAAGTCACAAATGAAGATGTTGGCTCCTTACTTTACTTTCTTTTTTTTTTTTTTTCCTAAGAATTATTTATTTATTATCATTATTTTTCAATTTGCTATAGGCCATGTGCGTTCATGAGAGACAGGGAAAGTGAGAAAGCAAGCCACCAGGTCTGTAACTTGAACTGTAGTCAGCCATGTGGGAGTCCAACATCTTAGTCACGATGCTGCCTGCTGGCCCCCACTTACTTTCCTTTCACTCTTCTTACATGGATAAAAGTGATACACTGAGGAAAAGAAGACAACAGAGACTATTCTAATAGGACAACTTGAGGATCTCAGAGATCCGATCTTCAGTATAACTATCAATATTCAAGTACTACTAGGGAAGACAAAAATGAAGATAAATTTGGTTTAAAACAAACAAAAATCTTTACTTGTTCTGAAGATGACAATAAAGGCACTGAAGGGTAGATGAGCTGTGACCCACTGTATCAGCAGATAAGGCAACATGACTTGGAATTACTCCGAAAGCTAGCCAAAACACATGCATGTAAAACCACTACCAAGCGTTGTGTTTGCGTTCTAAGGGAGGGGAGGGGAGCGTGTCTGGATTTGGAAAATTGTTCAGAAATCTAGTAAATACAAAGGCAATTCTTTAAACCACCGAGTGTGACAGAGACACATTCCATGTACCTTCTCAATTCACTAAGAAAAGGCTTAAAAATTCTCTTTAACTGAAATGATGATGCAACTGATTTCTATATTTCTTTTTTCTTTTCTTTTTTTAATTTGCCAGAGGCACAAATGCTGGCCAGGAGAGAGAAAGGGGGAAAATGATAAAGCACCTCCCCATAGGATATGGTCAAGCCCCAATCCCTTCTCTTCCATTTCTCCCACCTTTTTGGATC